TTTCCAGCCACACGACCTCATTTACTCTTCATAATCCTCCATATTCCAGGAGGTAAGTAGGGCATACACATCTTACAGGACAGGGAATGGGGACACAAAGAGATTAAGGGGCTCGCCCCAGCTCACACAGCCAGCCGGTGGCCAACTGAGGCCTGGAACCCAGCTCCTTGACTCGCAGCCCACGTTCTCTTTCTATAACAGCTCACAGCCATGTGAGCCTGAAGTTGGAGGCCAAGCCCTCAAACCAGGCACTTACTTGCAGTGGGTACATACAAAAGCCCATCGCTCCTTCTCAAAAGTCTCCGTCAAGATTTAAAGACATTTGAGCAAAAGAGGAATAACAAGGCATCAATGTCCAAAATGTAGGAAGAGTTTGGCTGACAATGGGGAACAAATGCCACATTAGACGCTTCCAAGAAGTAACGGCAAAGAGCGGCCCGAGCAGATGGTCGGCAAGGCCTGTTGAAGGGTGTCAGGACTCAGCTGCTCTGCCCAGGCATGGGAGTGCCCACACGGGGATGCATGTCCCAGCACATAATCTGGGAAGACCCAGAGGCCCCTAAGTACAGGCTCTGCTCCAGAGAGAGTCCCCCAGATGGGCTAGGAATGTGAGGCTGCAAGGATCAGCCCAGAACTGCCAAGGTCTGAGCCCTAAAGCCCCCTAGAAGAAGCTTGGAGATGAGAGGTTTGCGCTCATTCCTACCCTCTGCGCTCTTCCTGGGTAGGTGATGATAGTGTGCTGAGAAGCCATGGGACTTGGAATAGGAAGACCAGAGTTCTCACTGCAGATGTGAGACCTGGGCAAGTTTTCAACCTGCTCTGGCCCTGCTGAGCTCACCTGTACAGGAAGGGGCCTGTGGGGAGGAGCTTCCAGCTGTGCAGTCTGTGGTGTCAGCACAAAGCCCTGGCCTGCTTTCCTAAGGTGGTGCCTGTGGGGATTTCTAGCTGGGAAGCAGCCAGGAAATGTGGTTCCTAAGCTGAGGACACTCAGCCTTCTGGAGCCCTCCCACTTCTGCCGCATCCTCACTTCTTCCCAGTAATGAGCCTGGCCGGGGCACATCCTGCCACTTCCAGGAACCGCCTCCCTGCCTGCCTCCCCTGCCCACCCCAACACATCTGCATCCAGAGACACGTGCTGCCCCAGGACCTCCCAGAATCAGCTTCCCCAGGAAGAAGCACCCCACCCTTCTTCCCACCAGACACATCACCCCCACCAGGCTCAGTAGAGGGGCAATACCCTGAGCAAGGAGGACACTTTGCTGCCTTCTAGCCTGGGTCCCCAGTGCTCCTTCCTGCGAAGCCTGAGATCTTGGAGCCCCTGGAAGCAGCTCACTTTGCAGAACAGGCAGTCTAACGTGGCCCATTGGGGCCTTTGTGCTGACTTGATAACATTGCCCCTTTTTTTCTGGTGAGACACAGCCCTGCGCCAGGTATGAGGCCCAGTGCAGGACATAGTTGGCAGGATTATTCCAGGGAGCAAGGGTGTCCAGTCCTGCCCTGCGCTGGCTGGAGGAAGGTGAGAAGCACCCAGTCTGCTCTGTGGCCAAACCCAGAGCTCTTGGAGCCCCAGGCAAGAAGCCATGATGAAGCAAGTTTGGTTCTCAGCACACATTTGTGTAGTGGGGGAGGGAGGGCTGTGGGGAAGAGGGGAGTTGTGTATATGTGCGGGATATGTGTGGGGAGTCTGTGTGCATATGTGGGTGTGGGTGTGTGTGTAAAAGGAGGTATGGGTGGGGGAGGGTCTATGTGTGTCAGTTTAAACCGGAACTATGTGTTCTAAGGCCAATTGTGGGAAAGAAAGGCACCCTGGAAACTCTCCTTGTTTGGGGTCCTACAGATAACTGAGGGCATCTGATGCCCTCCGCCCAACTTTCCTGGTCTCCTCAGGGTGCTGAGGTCAGCACTGCACCAGGCACCAGCAGCCCAGCTCCTAGCTCTTGATTTTAATGCAGGCTGCTTTTGCCAGCAGCTGCATTTACACTCTGGACTCAAGAAAGCAGAAAACAAACTGGCTTGCAAAGCCACTCCTAGGGCCATCACTTCTCCCAGAAGTATGGGGACCTGGGGATTAGTTATTGTGGGGTGAGAGGGGTTAGGAAGTGCAGGCAAGAATGCCAAGAACTTAATTTGCATAAGGCATTCACTGAGGTCCAACAGACAAAGGCAGGAGAGAGGTAGATAAATAGGAAAAGAATGAAATAGGATAGGAACTGAGGAAGGCAGGAGTCCCTGGGAACCAGTCTGCCACATACAGCTGCACAGGTTGTGCACTGCTTGGAAGGAAGGGCTTGGAACTGCTGGGGATCTCTGGGAAGCAGCTAGAACTCTGGTCTGAATGGACCTAGGTAGGTGACCATCTGCATGTGCCTTCACCCTCTGTGCTCTGTGGCTCCAGCTGGGACACAGTTCCATCCTGCCCATGTCTGTGCCATCATAGTGGGGCCCAGAATCCTTTGCACAGACATTCACAGAGATTACTCTGGGATTGTATAATGGGTGATGCCAACTGACAGATAAGGATGGAGGAAGGTTGCTCATGGCGATCCAGACCCAGGGCTATGGCCTGTGTTTTCATATGGTCTATGGACCTCACAAGAAGGCTGTGTGATGCATATCATTACCCCTTGCTACACATGGGGACACTGAAAATGTGACCTATTGAGACACACAGAGGTTCTAAAGCCCAGAGCTCTGAACTCCTAGTACAGTGTCCTTGGAAACCTCAGAGGCTGGAGTCCTCTCTGGACCTGCTGGTCAGGCTGCAGTGGCCTTCTGGGTACACATGTGCACGGCCCCCAGGGACATAACCCTGGGAAGAGGTGGCTTTCCCCAGCCTTCCTGAAGGAGTCCTGAGCTGCCTGAGTAAAACAGCAAATCCCTTTTAGGCCTAAATGCAGAGTGAACCCCAGAGATGAACCACTTAAGGGTGGGAATGGGTGGGTTAGGAGAAGAGGGGTGCTCAGGGAAACAAACCAATGCAAGACAGGGGAATCACCTGCGCTGCCCTACACAGGGCGCTGAGCAGGGAGCCAGGCGCTACAGCGCACATCGGCTGGAAGGAAGGAGGGTCAGACATCCCTGTTTCCCAGGCCATGGATTCCTGCTCCTTCTCACCTCCACAATACAGCAGAGACAGGGAGCCAGGGAACAAAGTCTCCCAACATTCCCTTCCCAGGGAACGCTGTGATGTCCTAGAACTCACAGGCCACCAATTACAGGAATTGCTAACACAGTTTCTCAAGTCCCTCCTGACTCAGCTGCTTCATTTCCCCTCTTCTTCCCAGTCTTACCTCCTAAGCAAAGCAAGAGGTGGTGAGGAGAGAGAGCAGGGCTTTCCTGCTCAGGATGTTCAGCCTCCTTCTCCCTCCCACCTGCTACAGGATGAGGACTCCAGGCTGTGTTTTCCCCGGAGGGCTGATGGGTTAACCCGGCCCTTGAGCAAGCTGCTGGCCTGGAGGGCCCCTCTTCCCTCTCCACTCCTGGCCAGGACAGGCTTGGCAGCTCACACACAGACGTAGTGTAGCCCCAAAGAGCCAAGCCTGGCCCTGTACCACACACCTGGCCTCATCAGAAGAGAGCTGCTCTCTGCAGAGAGGACACCAAGGCAGCTCACAGGGGCACTGAACAGAAGCTCAGGTCTGGTGCTAGTGGACTGCACCTGGGCCCAGGGTCTGGACCACTTGGGCCTCATCAATACACAGCTGTGGGAGCACTTGCCTGTCACACCATGAGGTTGTGACTTCTCCTCTGAGCGGTCTAGTCTGAGCAGTGCTGGCCTGGGCAGGCCATGCTCTTGCAGAAAGAGCAGAGGTTTCTGGGCCCCACTGTGGTGGCACAGACACGGGCAGGATGGAACTGTGTCCCAGCTGGAGCCACAGAGCACAGAGGGTGAAGGCACATGCAGATGGTCACCTACGTAGGTCCATTCAGACAAGAGTTCTAGCTGCTTCCCAGAGATCCCCAGCAGTTCCAAGCCCTCCCTTAACCACAGGCTGACTTCCAAGTGCTGATGTCACTCCAGCCCCAGCAACTAGTTCTAATATTGGGGTGGATATGGCATCATCTGATTTTCTTGCTAGAGATACAACACATGGCACAGAAAGGGTAGGGGGCTATGCAGGACACTCGGCAAACTGTGGCAGGACAGGCTGGGGATGGGGGCCCAGAGCAGTTGCTTTTAGCTTCTGACAGCATCTGCCTAGCATTTTAGAACTAGAAAAAAGAAAACAATGATGAAAACGATGATGATCCATAACACCTCATGGTTACTAGGTGGTCATGCCAGCCAGAAAAGGCTTTTTATCTAAAGCATTTCTTTTAATCTTCAAACAACTCTAGAAGATGGATAGTACTACCCACCCCACCCCCCACCATTTTTCAGATAAAGTTACCAAAATTTAGAAACCTGCCAAGGGTCACTGTGCTAGGAGGTGGGAAAGGCAGGCTTAGAACCCTGCCAGCCTGACTCCAGAGTTCTGTCTCCTAACCACCACACCAGGCAACCTCATTTAATGAGCAATTACCCTGTATTATTCTGGAGTGAACAGTTTTCGAAGCGCTTTTACTACCTGGTTCCCTCCTCTTAGGACCCAGAGCACTGACTCTATTAAGCTGAATTTCTCTGTATGCATTTGGCTGTCCTGCAGAGCTGCAAGCTCCCCAGGAACTTAAGAAGCAAGCCAGGGTCAGGGCCATGGAAGGTACCTCTTGTAGCATGAATAAACCCAATGAAGTGAGGCTGATATTGATGTCTTCATTTTACAGATGGGAAAACTGAGGCCAACTGTCTCCTGAGCTATGGTGGACCTGAATTCCTCTCCCGACCCCTGCTGACCCCTGCCTAGGGCTGCCGCAGGTAAAATGATCCCACACAGCACAGGTGAAGTGCCGGCTGGCCAAGGAACAGCATGGCCCTGGGTGCTTCTCTTCTGGTATGTAACAGAGTGAACATGCCAGAACCATGAAGTCCACAGCCAACACCCCTTAGGTAGGTTGCTTACCCCGGCTGATCCTCTGCTTCTCCCCAGAGAGGATCCCTGGCGTGTCGATGACGCTGATGCTCTCCAGCACGGGGTTGGGTAGCTGGGCACACACAAACCTGCATGGGCAGAGGAAACCTGGGTGAGTACCCACCTTTCATGATCCAGCCCCATGATTCCAACCACCTGTCTTTCTCAGGTGAGCTGCAGGTGCATGCAGAGGGGTTCAGTTCGCCAGGGGCTTGCCCAGTGCAGGGCATGGCTGACAGCTGACCCAGGGCAGAACCCCAGTCTTCCTGCCTCTCCCCACATCCAGTGTTAGAGAGCTCTGCACCAGGGTGTGTTTGGTAAAATGTGTGACCAGCAGGGCTACTCCATAGCGACATCCCATCTTCATGTGTGACCAAAGCCTGGGTCTAATTCTATGGCCCTGTCTTTAGTTTGTCCTTGACCAGCTACCTCCCTGCCTTGAGTAACTCCACTTAGCTTGGCCCTCTCTAGGAACCTCAGCTTCTTTAGAGAGTCAATGAGAAGACCCCCTGCCTCCTCTTCCTATGAACCCCTAGGGACAAGCGAGGCAGGAGGGATTTCGAGGGTCTGTCCCAAAGCATCGCTGTACAGAGTCAGGGTCTGGGCATCCTCCTTCTGATCTGATCCTCGTGGGCAGAGTGGCTGTGCTTCTCTGTATAGGTCCTCATTGTAAATGGGTTATCATGCAACAGTAACTGAAGCCCTACTCTGTGCAAGATAATAGGCTGGGTGCCACGGCCAGAGGATCACAAGCCTGCCTGGCTTAAAATGCAGCCAGGCCAGAATCCCAGCCCCAGAAGTGAGTCTCACTCAGGATCTATGCTTTGAGGAAGCTCCCTGGATGATCGTGAGGCAGCTCCTACTGCTGGGGACACTAAGATGTCCAAACCTCGATCCCTGTCTCCAAGGGTCACGGCCTGGTGCAGGAGAGGAGGCCTACACATGGACAACCAGAATACACAGTGCAATGGGACCAGCACCCTGAGAGAAGTCAGATGAAATATTTGGAAGATTCAAGGCAGAGAGATGGCTTCCTGGAGGATGAGGCACTAGAGCTGGTCTTGAAGAATGGCAACCAACCAGGAACACATATTTGGGCATCTAAAGGCCAAACATCTCTATTACGATAGCAGTCAAGTGTAATTCAAGAGAAGAAAGGGAAGGGGAGCAGACAGAGGGTGTGAAATAGGACCACTCGGCAGCACAGAGACGGGAACCGGGAAATCTCAGGTGCAGCACCTTGCGGGGGCTGCAGCGAAGCTGGTGGCACATGCAAGAGGGCTCCTCCATGTCCCCTGTTGTCCTTTCAGTGGACATGCCTGGCAGACCCCCAGCCAACCTAAACATCCACCACTTCAGCTGCTGTGTGCTGCTGGAGAAAAATCTCAGAACCTCACGACTTCACAGGTGCCTGCAGAAAGCCACATTCTCTCATCATTCTTCCCTAGTGATGCATATTTCTCTCTCTCTCTCTCTGTCTCTCTCTCCTTCTCTCTCCCTCTCCCCCCCTTCCAGTATTTTCTGCCAGGAATGTCCTCTCTTTTTTACATTTTTGGTGTCATTCACTCATGATTTAATGGCAAGGTCAAATGTCAACTTTCCCACAAAGGCCTGGTCAGCCCTGCTCTTCCTCTTGCCTGGGTTACCACTGGCTCTTTCCACTTTTCTAAGGCTTGTGTCCACTGGACTGGATCAGCCTTATATTTCCCCACAGAGCAGAACCCCAGGCCGCTAGGGGGCTGGTGTCTATTGAAATAAACATGAATTCTACCCCTTAGCAAGGCACCTGGGAGGGAGCCAGGAGACACAGCCCCTCCTGTGGCCACAGTTCTTTCCTTATCAGTGTCTGCCCTCCAGGCCAGACAGCTGGTCACTCTGGAAATGCAGGATCTTGCCTGAGTCACCTTCATTTTATTCACTGAAGTCACAGATTTAGAAGGAGATTCAGGACCCCTTAATAATGTCACCTTTTATGTGCATGCTATTTGTTTCATAACACCTTCCTACATATTTTCTTTATAAATTATTTTTTTGTAAAATAAATGTACATGGTAAAAATAAAAACATGGTTCAGCAAGACATAAAATGAAATAGGAAGGTCTTTCTCTTCTCCATCCTTCTGCCCTCCTCAATTCCACTCCCTAAATGGAACCACTGTAGGCCGGGTACGGTGGCTCATGCCTGTAATCTCAGCACTTTGGGAGGCCGAGGCAGGCAGATCACTTGAGGCCAGGAGTTCGTGACCAGCCTGTCCAACATGGTAGAACACTGTCTCTACTAAAAATACAAAAATTAGCCGGGCATGGTGGCACATGCCTATAATCCCAGCTACTCGGGAGGCTGAGGCAGGAGAATCACTTGAACCTGGGAGGTAGAGGCTGCAATGAGCTGAGATCACACCATTGCACTCCAGCCTGGGTAACAGAGCAACACCCTGTCTCAAAAATAAATAAATAAAATAAAATAAAAAATGTAACCACTGTAAAGAATTATATAGTTTTTCCTTTCTCTCTCAGATTTTCTTCACACAATATTTGCAGGATTGGATTATGGCAATTTACATTTTATCACTTTCTACATGAAGATAATAATATTCAGAGGTTAAGTGTCTTTACCAAAGTAAACCACTCCCACCCAACCTCACACACACCTCCTGGTTTCAATGCATTTAACAATAGAGTTCATGAGGCTTGCTGGGTTTGATTAATGACATAAGAGCGCTCAGCTCTCAGGAATGCACCCAGCGTATGATGGCAATCATTTAAATTCTGTTATCATAATAGGCTATATGCTGTTACACATAATACAATACACTATATCATTATAAGCACAATTATCCGAAAATGGCATTAACCACTAAACCTGTACGCCTCTCTTGCAACAATCCCTGTTTCCTCTTGTTTTCCCTGGCTTTTCTCTTCCCTCCCCTGGGGTCCAGCCTCTCCTCTCTGCATTCAGATAGGACGATGCTCCTCAGCTGACTCACCATCACTGCAAACTCAACGTGTTCAAAATGAAACTCATTGCCTACTCCCTTGCTCAGATATCCCTGCTTCTGTTCATCTCTGCTGACTTGTTCTTCTGAATCATGCTCATCCCACCCCCTCCATTTCTGCATTTTAGCATCTTGGGCATCCAGGACCTCCTCACTCAGTTCCAGGTAGGAGAGACACCCCTGGACTCCAGGACGCCTGCCCCACTGCACCTTGCCACCGCAACTGCCTCCTCGTTCTTCCTAAACTGACCTCAGCTTCATTCTCGACACAAACTAAACCCCATGCCTGGGCCTCTCTCTCTGCCAGGCCAAGTTCTCGAGATTTCTCAGCGTGACCCCTCCTCTGCTCCCTGCTCTTGACCACTCAGAATTCCACATTTCATGCATGTGGTCCTCTTCCTATCCCTTTCTCAGACTGACTCCATGACACTATAGGAAAGGTCAAAGACAAGTTTGTAGCTTTATAAAAACTATTCTTTGGGATTAGAGACATTGAGAATCCTTTGGGCAATGAGTCTCAACTTCTACAACTGAAAAATGACCACAGCGGATGCCTATTCCATTCACCGAACAATTAAGAAATCAAATGAGACAAGACATGATAACACTGTCACTAACTAACCTGCTGATTACTATGTGCCAGGGATAGAATTCATGTTTTATTTCAGTAGACACCAGGCCCCTAGTGGCCTGGGGCTCTGTTCTGTGGGGAACAGAGTGTTTTCTGTTTATTATCCCACTTATTTCTCCGTTCACTCCTATTATCCTATTTTACAGATGGGAAAAATTAGCAAAAAAGAAGTTTTGCAACTTGTTCAAGATCCCCCGTATGAGGTGGGGTTTGAACCCAGGTCTATCTGAAGGCAAAGCCCATATTCATTACCTCTACTCTAAACACCTCCAATTAGAAAAAGTAGTTTTAAAATTATTTTCAAAGTATTTACCATGCACACGTGAAATTGGATTTATAAGTATAGGAAGTGTGAGCAGGGGATCAGCCTGCTTCTGATTAAGCAGAATAATTCATTTGAAGGCTCATATTAGTTTGCCAAGCATCTCTAGAGCTTTTTCTATTCAAATCATCATGATGATCTTGTATCTGCAAGGCTGAACTTGTCCCAGGGGAAGAGAGGTGACCTGTGCAAGGTCACTCACTTCATTTAGTGGAAGAGTTACTGCTCAAACCTAAGGCTTCCGTCTTAAGTCCAGGGTTCTTTCCACCAGGTAGAAACAATATCCATGAACAGAAAAGAGCCTTCGTCTGCCTCCTTCTAGTTGGATGCAAGTCCAGCCTTTGCCTGTTTAGGCAAATGCTGGGAAAGATATGGAACATCTTCCTCCGCTTTTACTAGGGGTAGGTGCAGAGTAGGGGAATGTGACCTAAGTTATTGTTGTATCCTTCCCTGCTTCCTGATAAGGAGGAATCAGCCTGGCCTCTGTGGCTCCTGCATCGCACAACTGACTCAGTTATACTCCCAGCAAGCAAGGGGCAACCTAGGTATGGAAAGACTGACAGGAGACTCCAGGTTTGGAAAAGGCACCAAGCCTCTCAAGATCCTACCTACTGTTCTTTCACATCCCATACTCCAAGAAGAAGAAAATAGAGCACCCCAAAGTGTTGTGTTCCCCTCCACACTCACCTGTTCAAGAAGGCATTGCCGAAGGCATTGAGTTTCCTGAAGGGTTTCTTGGGATCCACGACCAGGGCATTCCCAGGGATGATCCCCTCCATGTCTCCTTGCATCACCGCAATGAAGGAGTCCGTGGTGGGCTCAGGCCCAATCCTCATGCCTGGGAAATCCTGTTCCAGCAGGTACCTGGCAGGAAGGAACACAGTCATAATGCAGGTGTTCTGCTCAAGATCAACACAGCACGTCTCCTATATGGCAGACACCATGCAAGTCAGAGGGGAGGGCAGAGCCGCAGCAGCAGGATCTCATGGCTGAGAGAAAAGCTTGCTAGATAATGGAGTCCAAAGAACTTTGTAGAGGAGGTGGAATTTCAGCTGATCTTAAAATATTCTGTTTTTTGGTCCTTATCTTTTTCCTTTTCTCAATCAGTTGGGAGCTGGGGGGATGGAGGAGCAAGATTTCAGCTTAGAAACAAAGCTTGGATTGAAATGATTCTTACAAAGAGTATTACAGACTCCATAACTGAAAGTAACCTGCTGAGTACCCACACAAAGACATGGTTAGAACCAAACCATTTATAGACTCTGCTGACTTTTCACAGGTCTTTATTTAACCAGCTAGCTGTTTAATATAAAAATAGCTTATGTGATACAAAATACAAACAATATAAAAGGTACACTATGAAAAATGAATATCCATCTTATCCTACATTTTTAGTATCTGTATTTTGTACCCTGTATCCTTCTAGAAATGTATCCTTCTAGAAATGTCCCAGGCATACAAGTACTATGTTATTAAGTGCTCATACACATCCACACATTTATGATCTTATTTATTTATTTTTTTTAAGATGGAGTGTCACTCTGTCGCCCAGGCTAGAGTGCAGTGGTGTGATCTTGGTGCACTGCAACCTCCACCTCCCAGGTTCAAGTAAGTCTCCTGCTTCAGCCTCCTAAGTAGCTAGAATTACAGGTGCCCATCGCCATGCCTAGCTAATTTTTTTGGTATTTTTCATAGAGACGAGGTTTCGCCATTTTGGCCAGACTGATCTTGAGCTCCTGACCTCAGGTGATTGGCTCACCTTGGCCCCACAAAGTGTTAGGATTACAGGCATGAGCCACCATGTCCGGCCTGATCTTATTTTATTCTGAGACAGAGTTTCACTCTTGTCCAGGCTGGAGTGCAATGGCACAATGTCGACTCACTGCAACCACCGCCTCCCAGGTTCCAGCGATTCTCCTGCCTCAGCCTCCCGAGTAGCTGGGATTATAGGTGCCTGCCACCATGTCCTGCTAACTTTTTTTTTTTGTATTTGTAGTAGAGGCTGGGTTTTATCATGTTGGCCAGGCTGGTCTCGAACTCCTGACCTCAGGTGATCCACCTGCCTCAGCCTCCCAAAGTGCTGGGATTACAGACGTGAGCCACTGCACCCGGCTGCTTGATCTTTTTTTTTAACATAGAAGCAAACTACACTCCTTTCATTCTGTCTTTCTTGTCATTATCCATTTAATTCCAACTTTCAAAGAAGAGCCTACATTCAAAATGCCTTGTATAGTACCTGGCAAAAACAGATATTTTCAACAAATGAGTCTTCTCTTGTGCCCTTGGCTATTAGGTAATTTCATTACAAATGTAATAGTATATGGTGGGATTCCCCAATAGAGATTATAATTGTGCTATGTTTTTAAATATGTGTTTGGTTTTTTACCTGTGCTACCTAAATAGGTGTCAAAAGTTACCTTTTATCTGTCAATGCCTTCCTTCTGCACCCAACACACACACACACACTCCCCTGGCAACATACACATGCGTCGTAACCATGAAGGATGCTGTACTGTGAACAGGCAGGAATGTACAGACCCCGTGATGATTATAGGGATATGATCAATGCACATGTTTATTTTCATGCTTCATATGTTTAGGACATAGCAGGACAGATCTATTCCTCTTAATGACAATGCAGAATTCCATTCTATGGATTATTACTGGCTAATTTAAAGGCCACATTGCTGGTCATTTAAAATTTTACAAATAACTGAACTATTTCAATTCTTCCTAGATGGAAGAAAAATGGCAGTAGGGGAGTTTACACATTATCCCAACCAGAGAGGTAAACAAGAGGAAGGGAGTTTGTTTATTTTTAAGGAATGGTTTTAAACATGTTCTCTTTCTGTCCTTTAGTTGGGCCAGGAAGGGGCCAGAGGTCCAAGATCTGGTCCTGTTCACTCACTGTGCAGCCTCAGACAGGCGCCCTCCCCTCTCTGGGCCCCATCCTCTGTTCCCTTTAAGAGACTAGACAATGTGATAGCTCAGGTGCCTTCTGTTCTAAACATCTGCTTACTGAGGGATGCATTTCTGGGTGGTGCCCACCTGCAGTCACTCATACCTCTATAGCGCTGCCTCGGTGGTGGCCACTCCTGACCGGACAGGGGGATGGTAAGCAGACTGCTCCTCTGAGCTTCTGGCTGTAGCCCAGGAAGGCAGGTGACTCTCTGCTCTTCTCTGCACCTGAGTGGTGAGAGCCCAAAGTCCCCTGCCCCTCTACATAGCCCCCTTTAGAAGCCAAGAGGCACATGGCCAGACAGGGAATGTGAATGCCTCTAAGAGCCTGCCAGCCCTCCAGGAGCTCAGAACAGCTTGGAGCCAAGAAGCATGAGGCTGGGCTGAAGGAAGGAGCTCAGAACTACCTTGGATTGGGACTGGCCACAGGAAGGCCCTGGGCATCTTCCAAGACCTCGATGGACAGGAGCTAAGAGATGTTGCCCAACAAATGCAGGCCCTTGGGGTGAGCTCTCCCTGAGTGCTGAGAATCTCCCTCCTGCTTAAAACCTTGGAGGCCTGTAGTTATGCTTAGAGGGAAGAGCCAGGGGGCCCTCAGGAGAAGAGATGTCAAGACAGAGTCTGTTAGGTTGGGAAAGAAACTTGGTGATCTCCTGGTTGGTGGTCTTCAGCCTGCTGCACATCCCAGCCCCCTGTGGGGCTTTAGCTCTAGGTGTCTGGGCCCCAATCCCAGAGGTCCTCACTGCTCCATCAGGAGTAGGTCCTGGACACTGCTACTTCTCCAGGCTACCTAGCTGATTCTAGGTCCAGCCAGTGTTGGTAACCTACTCTGGACCCAGCCCTTCATGTGACTGAAACAACTGCTGACATTCCATGGCCTTTCCACAGGTGGCACATTATGCTAAATGTTTTGACAACAGCATCTCCTTCAGTTCTCACAGCAGCCCTACAGATAGGCAGGTACTGAGGAAACTGAGGATTAGACGGTTACATGGCTTCTCAAAGCTAAATAACTGTAACAGAGCTGGAATCCACACCCACATCAGCCTGACCAAATCCTTTACTCTTCAACTGTCTATTACCCTGAGGAAATCACTGCCCAGCGAACTGATGAGGCCCCACAGGCAGATAGGGCAGAGCTAGTACCAGAGGCCACATCACCAGGGCCCATGCCCTAGCTCTCTGCCCATCCTGTGGCTCCCTGGGTTGGGCCAGTGTGGGTGGACTGCAGCAGCAGGCATGGTCTGCACAGAGGAGCGGTGGCCAGGGAAGCTCTCAGGCCTTCCTCCCACTCATCAACATCCCATGTGTGTCTCTGAGCATCATTCTGAGCTGCGAGTTTACTCTGCGGTTCCATGGTAGTTAAAGGGAGGTTGCTATAGACTCTGTCCCCAAGGAGGAGTCTCGGCAGCCAGCCCTGGAGGAAGGAGCCGGAGCCCTCCTGTCCAAAGGCCACTCAGCATGCAGGGCACAGATAGGTTTCAGGTTGCCTTGGGAAGTCCCTCATCCCTCCAGAGCCCAGCCCAATAATCAGAGTGTGAGGGCAGAATCTCCTCTGGTAGGAGGATCACTTTGAAAGCTGGTGCTGAGAATGTGATGAGAGGGAATCCTAACAGCTGCACCCTTGGCTAGCACTTCCTGCTTTCTCAGAATACCTTATCCTTCAGAGCCTCCTGGGAGAGGCTGGGAATAATCTCAGATGCCTGGGGCCAGCCAACCTGCTTTCTCTTTCTTTCTTTTTTTTTTTTTTTTTTTTGAGCTGGAGTCTCACTCTGTTGCCAGGCTAGAGAGCAGCAGTGCAATCTCAGCTCACTGCAACTTCCATCTCCTGGGTCACTGCAACTTCCATCTCCTGGGTTCAAGTGATTCTCCTGCCTCAGCCTCCTGAGTAGCTGGGTCTACAGAGGTGCACCACCATGACCGGCTAATTTTTGTATTTTAAGTAGAGACGAGATTTCATCATGTTGGCCAGGATGGTCTCGATCTCTTGACCTTGTGATCCCCCTGCCTCGGCCTCCCAAAGTGCTGGGATTACAGGTGCCAACTTGCTTTCTCTAACCATGAGGGCTATGCTCTTTGGGGGTACTTAACTCAGGGAACCTCAGTACCTCCCTCAATAACATGGCAGGTAATCGTTCAGACTGACTGAGTACCTGCGACGTGCTGGGCATTGTTCTCAACTTTCCATGGGTTATCTCATTCCGCCTTCCCACATACTATGATGTGAGCACTATGCTCTTCCTCATCAAATGGACCTAATATGAAAACCCACCTCACAGGGTGTTCTGAGGATTAAATTTTTTGCAGACATTAAGCATTTAACCACTACCTTAAATTCCCTAGATTATCACTCCAATTGATGGAGGAGGAGATAAAGGTTTAACAATGTGTGCTCAGTAAATAGTAAATGCACTCAGTACATTGTCACAGGACTAGGATTTAAACCTGGCATTTGGATTTGAGTTCACGCTTCGAAGCACTACACTCACTCTCCTTTCCTGCCTCGACCAGGAAATGCAGCCTGAGTACAGGCCAAAAGCGTCGAGCTCTCTTTTAGAACAATGAGTGGGACAAGAAGACCACAAGGAAACACGGCTTGGCAGGAGGCAGGCAGGGCCAGGCCTTGGAGGAGAGGTGAGGCTTTGTGGCCCACAGACACAGGAGGATTGTCATCTCTATAAATATCAGCCGTTGGGTTCCCTGCTTGGCCTCAGTGACTGGGGTGTGGCATCCCAAAGCTGCTCCTATCATGTGATCAGAGCAGGTCCCTAGCCCCATGGGCTCTAAAAGGACACTTTTGGAATTTACAAACAGTAGGGCAAGATTACCCTGCCAAGCAACCCTTCCTGAGAAAGATTCCACCCTGATCGGGAAACCCCATCCATCTTTGCCTGCCCGGGCACCTA